AAAAAAAAAAAAAAAAAAAGATGGAAAGAAAAGAAACAAAAAAATGGGAAAGAAATGAAAGAAAGTCTAGGTAATCTAATTGTCAAGAATGTTTGAAGATCTCCTGCCTTGGAAAGAGTACTTATAAATGGAGCATGTCTAAAATAAGACCAAGGCTGACACTGTGAAAAGCAAAGTGTTTGAAGTTAGAAAAGAAACAGACACGGAGCTCTTACAGAAGGAATGTTTGCCGTTGGAGATATGAACATGTGCTTTATGTGCCAATTTTTAAAAAGGATCCCTTTGTAAATTGATTGATGCGTTTTTTTTTTTTGTTTTTTTTTTTCAGGAAGATAATGTGTTTAGGTCTGTTCAAGAAGTCAAAGATATTCTGAGTATTGCAATTGATTAGTCGTTTTTATTGCATCCTTTGAAATGCCCCTTAACGCGGATTTGTTTTTTAACGAGATAAGCCACAGTGAACGCTGTCAAGTGGTCTGACACAAACCAAAGATGGGTGTGACACTAAGCGGAAGGGAGGGTAGACTTTCGTTGATAAAAAATAATGATGTAATTGTTGAATGGAAGCAGTTGGTAAATGTTGGTATGATGACAATTCTTGCTTGATGCCTGAATTGCATTAGAATTTCCTGTTTGGTAAACCACAATGCATTGTATCAACAAAAAGGGAAGTGGGAAAAAAGTTATATCTTGTTATATCTTGCAATTATGTCATCTGCAAAAATAAGTAAGTAAATGATTTTTTTTTACAAAAATATTTGGACAACACTGTTATGAGCTGAGGTTCTATAAAAACAATTTGCATATATGTTGAACAGAAAAAAAAGTCCATTAACCACTTTTTACTTTGCATATCATGTAAATTCTTAACATTTCAGTTTTAGGACTTCAGCCTTTCAGTCATTTTGTGTATTCTAAACAAATCCAAGAGACCAATTCTTCATATTCTAAAGAAAGGAATTTTGTTATTTTCAGATGAACTTATCAAGGTTGCCAACCGTCTGATGACATCATTCAACATTGAGCAGGTTGTGGACCCCATGGACGTGAAGATTTCTGAGGCCATCATGAACCTGCAGGAAGGCAGCGAGAAGATCCGACAGCAGGTAGGTGCCATGCCTGACACCTTGATACAGCAAGAATATGTCATACCCAACACACTGTCATACGTAACATACTGTCACATTTAACACTGTCACACCTAACACATTGTCACACCTAACACACTGTCATATCTAACATACTGTCACATTTAACACTGTCACACCTAACACATTGTCACATCTAACACACTGTCATATCTAACATACTGTCACATTTAACACTGTCACACCTAACACATTGTCACATCTAACACACTGTCATATCTAACATACTGTCACATTTAACACTGTCACACCTAACACATTGTCACACCTAACACATTGTCACATCTAACACATTGTCACACCTAACACATTGTCACATCCAACACAGGAATGAGTGCTAAGATGTTGTTTGATCTAGAACTTTTTAGAAAAAAGATCATTTGTGCCTAGGACCATGTCAGTGATTGAACATGTCACTTTTTTCTCAGATGATATGTTTTTCATCCATGAAATAAAGGAAATTAAATGTCAAGTGGAAAAAAAATGAGTGCCTGCACTATGCTGGCTGTGTATGCTCACCATATTCCATCATCATCAAAATTCAATTTCGCCAGCGCTGAAGCTGTGTTATCTGTTATAATGTAATACTGGATAATCCTGACCTCCCAAGCCTTCTCATGGCTGACATGGAACAATAAAGTCCTTTTTTTTACCAGCTGCCATTTCCCATAGAATTCTCATTTGTCTGTTTGGTTTATCTGACAAGCTGGCATGTTTGATTGTTTTTGTCCCTTTTTTTCATAGAAGGAACAAGTTTTTGGGTTTTAGGTGGAAAATGTTTGAAATTTTATTGATTGCTAAGGAGTTTAAAAGATGGATGGCTAAGGAAGGAGGGGGGGGAGGATGCAAATAACTAACAACGGGGAGCTGGATCCTTAGTGATAAGTTTAAGGCTGTGTTCCCAGAGCTTTTAGATCAATCTATCCCCGCAGGGAATCTCACTAGATTACTGTCAGATAATCCGGCTTAAATGTCCGTCCCACCTACTACAAGCTGTAAGGAGGTAATTAACTTTCGTGTCCGCTCGGCTGACAGCTATTTAGTGTGAACCCCCAGGGAGTTAGGTCGATCTAAAGTAGATCGATCTAATCTCTGGAAACGGGGTCTAAGTTTTTGGCTTAGAGGTAACTCTGATCTAATTATTAATATGATAACTTCTTAGGGTTCTAATACACAGTTAAACCTCAGATAAGAAGATAGAAGAGCAGCTTACATGTGTCATCTTACTAAAAGCTGGCTAAGCTGAACTAAGTATTACACTGATCTCCCAGGAATAACAGGTGTTCTTGGAAAATATGAACTAAGATTAGAGATATGTGATAATAAGAACAACAGGAGAGAAGTTTCACTGAAGTGACTGGTGTGAATTTAAGTGTTGTTCTCAGAAATTGAGGTAAATGTGGAATGGTTGGCTTAGTGTTGGATGGAGAAAGGATTGCTATTTAGGGATTCTAGTGTCAGATTATCAGGATTTGTTTTCATGGGTATTGCCACCAGGAAAGCCAGTTGGCATCTCCAAATTAATAATTCAAGAAAAAACTAGGGAATATAGTGAACGATTGCAGAAATTAGAGTAAATGTGAAAAAAATGTCTGCCATTAGTCTGACTAACCATTCAGGATACATGGTCAGGATAAAAGTTTAGAAATGACAGTATTATTTTAACCACGATCAGTTTTGTTTGGTATTCAGTGAAAAACTCCCAAATATTTATCAGCAGGTTGTATTGTGTCAGATACCCCCAGTCTAAGGAGTATTTACTCTTGGATCTCCTGTGCTAGCCACATATATTTAACTCTGTTTCCTATAACAGTGGAGAAATCTGGCACCAGAGCTCCATTAAGACATCGGATGATATCAGATACGTGACATCTCTCTGCTACAACCCTGGTTGTTCACTACAAACAATCTTGATTCTGTCAAAATGCACACCCCATTTTGAACAAGATGGCTGGCATGCCCCTCGTTCCTCATTGTCGGCTTTTGTTGTGTTTGAATGTATAATTTGGGCCCCTGGTTCAGGGAAAGACATGATTGAAGTTCTATTATTGCAGGATTTTTTCCCCTAATTGTACATCATGTTGATTACAGTGATGATGAATGTTGAAAATTTGTGAAAAATGTTGTGGCCCAAAATTGCAATCTTGATATAAGAAAGAACACAGCCAAAACAACAAAGAAGCTCGTTTTTTTATCTTCACAGTGGTATTTGTAATGTAACTTGTTTTAAAATGTGTTTTCTTCTTCTTTTTTGCTGTAGGACTGAGATTGTTTTAAGATTGTAGTAAGTGTGTATACCAGATGTCTGGGTGTGATAGCAAGCAGTGCCTCCCTACAGGAATCCTGTTGAACTTTTTGTTTATTGAGGACATTACATTAGTTTTGGAAACACCCTGTAATTATCAAGTCTCTGTGATCAAAGACAGATCTTGTTCTGGGGGTTAAGAAAACCTGTTCTTTTTTTTTTAACGTTCCTTTGCCAAAACATGTTTTTCAGCTTGTAAATCCAAGACAAAGTGTTTGTTTTAAATTTTAATTCCTTTTTAAAAAGGGGTGGGTAGGCTACTTTCATTTATGTTGTTTGCATACTTGGTTTTTGGTTTTGAATGCCAGAGATCCACTCTGGATCAAAGTTCAATCTAGGTTCTGTACCATTTCTGAAGTTCCGTTATCTGAGGGGTTAAAAGGTCCACTGTTTCAGAAAAAGAACCCCTGGCCACTACAAGTGCCACAAGGCCATACCTTTTCGGTATACTTTCAAAGATACATGAGATGATGATGGTTATTGCCTACATCATGAACATAGTTGGTGGCTCTTCTCCATATGTTACTGTCAATGTGTACTGGATGTAGGACAGGCATACCTGACATGTCACTGCCCCCCCCCCCTCCCCTGCCCCCCTCCCCCCCCTCCGCCCCCGGCATGCCTCTGTGTCCCTGTCACCAAGGCATCACGTCCAGGTGTGCTCACTCTGTCACTGTGTCACACTGAACTCAGTTTAGTGACAAAAAGCTCGTGCATTGTCACGTAAGGTCGTGTCCTGTATTTGTAATGTCATATAACACAGCTCTACAAGACAGGTCGCCCTCGAAAGCTGTACAGTTTGATAGCTTCAGGGTGAAGGTTGTCTGCAGGGTTAGGAGGGAATACTCAGTGCTGAGTTGTAATGGGGGGGGGGGGATATTTATGGCCCTCTTTACACTGAACTGGACTGGTATACTTTTACAAGTCCTTGCATGTAATTACGCAACCAAGATGTTACTCTCTTCTGCAAATTTGATTCCTGTTAGATAAGTTAATTTTTAGGCCCTGTGTGTGTGTGTGTGTGCACGTGCGTGCATGCGTGTGTTAGAAGGGGAGTCAGTGTAGGTTGCCCTCTTATCTAAGAGCCATGCTATTAAATAGTCCATCTGTAAAAGTGAACTGGTCCAGGCTGTTTCACTAAGTACACTATGTGATGTGAGAAGGTCCATATAGTAGTGTTCATCCCATTACCTTCCTCTCCTCTCTACATATGTATGGGCCAGACTGTCAGAGACCATTACACCTCTTAATGGATCCTGTATCATTTATTAATACTACATACATTTCCGTTTGTCGTGTTCACTCATATTATGAGAGCCCGAAGTTCATGAAAAATTAACCAGAGTAATGGTTGAGAGGTGATTAACTAACAGAAGTCTCGTAAAGTCATTTGTAAAGTGGCATAGTGGCTGCGACACTGGGTATGATGGCACACATTATGTTACTTTGTCTGCATTTTTGATATGTTTATAATGGTAATGATTCACATTATTCCAATCACCTAAGTATTCCATCTTTTAATTGTGTAAAGGTTTATTAATTGAATTTACTCACAAAGTCTTCTCTCTAATCTCAATCCAACTCAACTTCTGTATCACCCTTTTCTCCAGGAATATCTCTCAAAATGTTATTTTGGGGAATCTATCAAGTCAAGTTTTATTTAAACTCAGTGACTAACTGCCATAGCAATGGGATCTAAATTATACCATGAATAATCTATAACAATGTCTACTAAAAGTCCTATGGGAAGTGATCGAGGGCATTGTCTGTTATTTGCACTGGTCACCGGGCTAATAGGTTAACTCTCTCTCTCTCTCTCTCTCTCTCTCTCATCACACACACACACACACACACACACACACACACACACACACACACACACACACACACTTCATTAACATTCAAATGGTCACTTAATTCATCTCCCTGCTTATCATAATTCCACCATCTTACTCAAGGACTTAAGACACTGTAACCTCTCACTGTCTCCCTGTCCTTGTTGCACCAAGGGACCCCCCTCCCATCTGTGACAGAGAAATATGAAGATGAAGAGGGGTCCCCTTCAGCATGTTTGGCAGGGGCTGCCTCAGTACTTTGCCAGGTACAGAAGACCTTGTTGTAAGACTTCACCTCAGGGGACATAGTTGTGTCAAACATACTTTTAAAACAACATTGAGATCTGTTGAAAACTTGTGGAATTACAAATATTCCACCATGCATTGTACCCCAAAATTTCCACAAAATGTTTTGTGGAGGTGTCATGTTTTTTCCACCTGATGATTGCATGAATTTTCCTCTTATTCATAAAAAAAACAAAGATTTTGCACTCCTAGTATCTGACTCAGCTAAATGTTATACGTTGTTTGTTGACAAGTGGCCACAATAATTTAAATTTTATTTGTGGTCAAAGATAATACAATGCCTGTGTGTGTGGAGAAAAAAAATAGAAAAGAGAAGATAAAGATTTCTATAGTAATTGTTTTAAATAAAAGAAATGATGATGACTGTGCTGCAGATTTCATTTCATCAAAGTGGCATTGACAGGTCCATTGTTGGAGTGTGTAGTCGCATAACTGGTCGCTCACAGACAGAAACCACAGGCAATATGGTATGGGATGAACAATAGAACAAAGTCCGAAGGGCAAAATTAATA